ACGTCAGGATGGCGCAATTTGTTCTTAAAATAGAAAAATTGTCCCATATCATAGGTGCGCGCGGATCCTATGACTTTCGGTCTCCGTCCCCGATTATGGCTCCTGAATATACTGAATACATTTGCCAACAGTTGTTGTTTATTATTAATAATGTTTGTTTTTCTTCTCAGAGAATAAACAATGACTTCGAGGAGATTTCTTCTAATGCTTACGTCATTTTCGGCCTTGGTCGCTGTTTTAGTTTTTTACATTGTTATCAGCAAAAAAGAACCTAATGCATCGAAAATGTTCGAAATGTTCGAAGTGTTCTCAAGAAAAGATATTGGTTTCCACAGCATGGAAATTACTCCTATTCCGAGGCAGAGACTGTCAAACGGTGAGTTATACCGTGAGCAGGGTCGGATCAAATACAGCCTCGCATCCAGTCGCTATTTACGGGTCATACGTGTCACTGAGATTGGATTGTTTCAAAGAGATTAAGCGGTCTGGATCGAGTGGAGCGTGCGGACCTTACCATGATACCCTGCGCTCCTTAATCCACCCTAGTATCCAACCTTCTCTCCTACCAAACACGTAAATAGCGACTGGGTACGAGTCTGAATCAAATATAGGCATGGTGGCAGTTCGCGCAACAATGCATGCCCAACTAGCAAGAAGAGGAAATTTTTTTGTTATCGTTGACGGATAAGTTTGCATCCCATAAAACCGACATTTAACTAGATTAAAGCAGGAAATAATTATAATAGCATACATTCCTGATTTGTAGTTACTACATTCACAATTTTTAGAAATTAAGTTTAAATTACAATTTTTTGAGAACTGGAAAATTATTAAAACAAGTATATTTATTCTAAATTTATGTGTCAGCATATAGCATGTCCCCAAATGTGGCTTCTGGGATGCTGTCCCCATGGTGGCCCCCCTACGTAGGTAAGCCTGTCAAAATATGAAAGACCCGTACAAGAAGATTTCAAACTCTCTTAATGTCAATGGAGTGCTTGAGGAGATCAGGCGACAAGCAACCAAACGCCCTTAACATTATTTGTGTAACCGTTTCTGAACAAGTGGCAGTGGCGGATCAGGACCTTGAGCTAAGGGGGAGGAGAGGGGTTGTTTTGCTTGCCCGCCGGCTTTTCTTCCTTCTGTGATTTCTTCCAAAATAAGGGGGGNAGTGGCAGTGGCGGATCAGGACCTTGAGCTAAGGGGGAGGAGAGGGGTTGTTTTGCTTGCCCGCCGGCTTTTCTTCCTTCTGTGATTTCTTCCAAAATAAGGGGGGGTCCCGGCCACCTCCGGCCCCTCCCCTAGATCCGCTACTGGGTGGTCCTTGTAACTAAAGAAGGAATGGACACACAGACCTTACAAGTAAACAGGGGCTTATATAGAACCTTATAAATGGCGCCTAAACGTGGATAACAATACTTATGAATCCAAAGCCTCTCATTCATGTGAAAAATCCTTTGTCTGGAAACATATGTACGAGGCTAACGATCTATAAAGTATTGTTACACAAATCAAGGGGCATTTATGCAAATGTTCAAAATGTATATGGTCAAGCATGACGTAAGAATGTTCGGCTAATTCGAAACTGAAAACAATTTTGAGCCCAGCTGAAATAAACTAAATTTTATTTTTCTTTCAGTTAAAACTGCTTCCCTCTCTTATGCAGAGAAACTGCTCAAATTGTACGATGGAGTGGAGGCATTTGTAATGTTCATTGGATATCCTCGAAGCAGTCATAGCTTAGTGGGCGCCATATTGGATGCACATCCAGAGATTATCATCCCACATGAATACGATGTGATAAAATATTGGAATAAACATCGGCCATCAACTGTTAGAAAAACAAAACTGTCAAAATATCATCTATTTTATAACCTCCACCAGCTGTCTAGAGAACAAGCAGTGTTTGGAATTCGCTCTAAGTATCCAAAAGGGAAGATGGGAGGTTACAGCTACAACGTGCCAGGCTTATGGCAAGGAGGTTCTCAAACGAGAATAAAGGTACGTTAATAAAGTAATTCTGTGCCTCAATAAACTTTATTCATTCCATTGGTCTTTCTCCCTATGCCTCTCGCCCACACTTTCCCCTGTCTGTCTTTCTGTCTGTCTGTCTGACTATCTGCCTGTCTATCTACTTGCCTGTCTGTGTGTCTGTCTGCATGCCTGTCTGTCTGTCTTTGTGTCTGTCTTTCTGTCTGCCTGTCTGCTTGTTTGCTTGTCTGCCTGTCCGCTTGTCTATCTGTATTTCTTTCTCTCTTTCTTTCTTCCTTTCAGTTTTTTCTTTTTATGCAAATTTGTTTCTCTCGTTCTTTCTTTCCTTCCTTCTTTCTAGTCTTTTACCCCTTCCTCTATCTCTCTCTCTCCTCTCTCTCTCTTTCTGTTTCTTTGTTTGTTTGTTTTTATCTAGCGTTCTTTCTTTATATCCTTTTTGCTATTTATTTCCCAAGGTTATCGGTGACAAAAAAGGAGGAAACACAGCCTTAGCCTTAGACCAACTCGGAAATCTGAATGTTCTTGAAGAAATCAATCGAGTCGTTCAAGTACCAATGAAATTCATACACGTTCACAGGAACCCCTTTGACAACATAGCAACCATGATGCTTCGCGCTACAGGGGCACGTGACGCTGTTAGGAAAGAAGGAGTAAAAGTAAGAAGGTTATGGTGTTTTTGTCATTGGTCATCATGCTCATTGAAGGGTTAAGTTCATGTATGTTACACGAAGTATGGAGATAAGGAGTGACGACACCTATTTATTTACAATTAGCCGCCCCCCGGCAGGGGAGAGGGTCCTCCCAGAAAAATTGGGTGCGGGTGTTCGGCAAGCTTCCCAAAACTCTCAGTTTATTAAAGACCAAATTATGCGATTTTCCCTACCCTTTGTTTTTGACCTGACCGTTTAATCAATACCCTGTTTTAGACTTGCCTTATAATTAGTTCTCTTTTTCAGTTCAAGACATTGTGAAGGTCTTTAGTTGATGGTCTTATCGTGGCCTTAAAGTGGCTTTCTCTTAAAAGCATACCCAAATCAATACTAGAGTGCAAAAACCATACCCTATTTGAGACCAAAATGACCAAAACCGATACCCTATTTATGACCAAAACAGCTACAAAACCATGCACTTTGGGGCCGCACATACCTATATATTCCACGTTAGAAAGTAATCCCCCCCCGGGGGGGGGGCGATTAGCACTCCTGCTTTATGTTTTCTTTTATCGCCAACAGAAAGAAAACAAGGTGCAGCTTGATAATCAAATTGAATCCTACTTCAAAATGGCAGCCTCCAATCAGCGCGTCAGGGAACGGTACGGAGCTGCAGTTCTCGATATACCAGGGCACGAAACAGTGCTAAGACCCAAGGAAACGCTTCAAAGATTGTGCGACCATTTGGGAGT